TAATATGATGGTCATAAACAGTATAGATATTATAGTGCGATGGTTAGAAACAGTCTAGATATTATAGTACGATAGTCAGAAACAGTCTAGATATTATAATACGATGGACAGAAACCGTCTAGACATTATACTACTTTCCACAAAAACGCACCAACTCTTTGGGGTCCTAGACCATCGTGTCAAAGAGCGGGGATCAGTCACGGTAGACAAAATTGTTAGGTACGCAATATATTTAATAACATGCATGTGTAGATACATTTGTGTATTTCGCCAAACGAATACTTATATATTTTGCTACCACTTCCATTGAAAATAATATGTTTTTTCCCCAAAAATGTACACATGCGAAGACCTAGTTATCTGTATTACCGTTTTCGTATGTGCTCGCACATTTTTCGCTGAAGAATTTTTCTCCCAAATGTTGATTTCTAGCATCGAGCATTTTTGTCTAAAATTCACAAACAATTTTGATCGGAAACGCAAAATGGAATAGGCCAAATTGAATTGTCGTTATATTATCATCCTAAAAGTTTGCCTAAAATGTTTTTTTTGCACATCTACGTATACTTATATCTACATGTTGTCACGGTTGTGGTGTTTAATTATTTAATTAATTTATTTATTTATTTTAAAAGATGGTGGTGGCGGTGTTGGTATTATTGTTCTCTTGTTCTCACTGTACGTTATATTCAGTTCAAATACTGAATAGTTCAACAGTTATTTTTCCCAATGCCGGAAATCACCTTCATAACAGTAATTTATAGTGATACTTTAAATACGACCAAAAACTTAACTTAATTTTGACAGGTGTTCGAACTTATTAACTTACATGTAAATGTAAAAGATTTCTAAAATCTGGCTGACCACGGAGAAAAAGACCTCCACAATACGCGATAAAACTTCAAGTCTTTCAACTTTTTTTTAGATTTGTACAATGCAGCCAGAGCTCCTGATCGTCCTTTGTGTCGCTCTGAGTGTCGCTGTATTTCCACCCGTGTTCGGTTAAACATTTCTGTAATGTAACTTTCGTGATTTGCTTTCTACGATTCGTTGCCACAATTTCGATAATCAGTGACGGCTACATTCATGCGTCGAATAATTATATTAAAAGTCGTTCTATTTTACAACAAGTGTTATTCTGTTTTACCCCTTTCCTCTTTATAAATCTTAAACATCATTGAAGGCGAATTAGAACGATTGTTAAAATGTGCACGTATGCTACTCGGCAACACAGTTGTGTCAACACAAATCCTGCATTCGTGGCGTCATGGGACAGAGTAAGACACACACACAAGTATTGTTAAACACACACTGTGATGAAGGTGACATCAACTAAGTAGCCATCTTTGTTTGAATCAGTGTTGCTAGGTTTGTAAATAAGTAAATACAATTTAGTTATCCATTTCTAGATGACCATATTGACAGTCTCGTAGACTGTTATTGTTGGCAACGTGTCACATATTGGACATTATGTACGTTGCTATTACGTACATATCTACACTGGCCTTCGATGCCGTTATAATAGAAGACAAGAATGCCTTGCTGTCAAAATAACACAGTGATGTTGATATTGATAGAACAGGACTCAAGAGAATGAGTCGAATAAGGTCATTGAGTCCAATGTTTATTCAACATGTGAATCATTCAGAAAGTGAAAACAAGCTGAGCCCAAATTTCTAAAAAAACTTTGTTATTCTTTGCAAATAAAGGCACGGACGGCACTGTGTAAATTTGCTTTTTGGTTAATGGTTGTCATATATACAAATTGTGGAGGCAGAACGTCACAAGCAGTGGGCCTTGGGTTGACATTAGTCTTTCGTATACCACGGTGTAATTTATAATAACAGTCGTCGCCTCTCTATACGATTGCTAGGCTAATCATAACAGTGCAACCGCGCGTGTCGTGAAAAAGAAAGTGGTAATTCTATTTGGAAATACGATTTTTTATTAACCTCCATGGAAACGGTATCTGTGACATTAACTGAGCGGTTTCAATATGAACGAAACCGCCAACGTATTGTTCGATCCCTTGAAAACATGGGAATCACACAGCCCGAGAGACGCAGACGCAGTAAAGGATATAAACGCGCTTCAGAATTGTTATCAAGGAATGGGAGTTCGATCTCATTGAAAGGCGACAGTGGTAGACGTGATAGTACATTGACGGTGACATCACCGGCGCTAGGATTACGGAAAGGATCGTTGATAGGAAACGGCAATGACATGAACGATATGTTGACACGAAAAGGATCGATCCAGGGAGGTGGCGTTACCACACTCATATTGCAGACAAGGCGTAGATCAGACGAGAAGTTGAGGAGAAAGCGATTGGCACAAGTGAGTATAAGTATGAATTTTAAGACTTGTTCCACTAATTGTGTATGACCTACATACAAGAAGGAGAATATGGCTTGAGTTTAACAGCAATATTATATTTTTTAAAAGAGTTGACAGGAGAATATTTAAGATATGCTAGATTTCATATGTACATATTACATCTTCATAAATACGTTGCTGACTGCTATAAAATCATGAGCAAAATCAAAGTCAAAAACTTTTATCTGACTTCAAGTCACCGGATTTCAGCTTATAATTGCCAACGCAATAAATCAATAGAGGATAAAATCAGTTTCAGTAAATAACTATGTTCATTCCTTTTTCTCTTCAAATGAACATGTCAATAATCGCACAGGTGATATATTAATTTAAACCACGTGTCCACTGTCAATAAATAAATAATTTACAATAACCATGTTATATCAGAGTTTGTATATACAATTTGTATAGCGATATACCGGTTGCTTATACGTTATACCTAGAAACTGCGGTCACTATTGTCAGATCATCTTTATATCGAGGTGCTTACTAGCAAACGTTTGACTGTACGTTTTGAACCCAAATGCTATTATTAATGCAGTATACACTGAGCACAGGACATTTTTACGAAACAAACTCGTGAAATAATTATATATATATTGGTTAATAGAAACATGTTGCTTTTTACATACGCACAGATCGGAATTTTATTTGTGATTTGTGTTATATTCCCATGTTCATTGAACTTGATTTGTTGAATTCCTTGAATTCACGGCGGTTGTGCCACATCGTGATTCTAATTTTAAAAGAAGATTATAAGATAAATATAGCAGCAGGTTCTCTCCTATATAGACGACATGTTTCCACTATACCTTGATGGAAACGTACATAAGACATCACTTTGTATATTCTAAATCCTCCATTTCAGACTATGTCGTTATAACACAGAGAGAGTGGGTCGTATAAGTAAAAGTTGTATTGCTAGGACAACATTGAAAGCCAACAGTACATTCCTATGTACGCATTAGTATGTGTAACTCAATTAATCTCACCATTATTGTAAAGCAATGTTTTCCTCATAAAACCGACATTGGCATTGTTTTCAATCTTGTAACCTAAGTAATGCTTCGTACAACTTTAATGCCTAGCGCTCACGTGCATTTTACAATTGTTAATGGGTTTACTGGGGCCAACAATAGTAATAATACATTATGATAACACTCTTTGAATAAAAACGTTTCTATTTCTCTACCATTGTACTTGTGAGTTGCGAGAATATTGATCTTCATAATAGTCTAATCTGATTTGATCAATATATAACTCATATTAAGGTCATGAATTTTGTATATTATTTATTCAAAGCATGCATTTTACAGCTTCTAAAGGCTGAATGCAAACACATAGTCAGCGATTTGTGAGCACGTATTTCTGTGTAGTAATTAAAGTACTTGTATCTTACTTTCAGAATCAGCGCAGACTTCTCCTGCAAAAATTCATAATGGTAGGGAAATTGATTGGCTTTATGTTCCGTCTTTGTAAGAAACACTTCCACGTGTAAGTAGCACATTGTATCAAAGAAATATTCATACGATGATCAATCGGAAAACTCCACTTGATATACCAAGAAGTGATCAATGTCTTCTTTCTATTTACTGATAGTTTAAAGGACGGCTATGAGGGGGCTAATTAGCGTATAAGTTGGTTCAGAGATGCTTATACTCGGCCCATACTTGGCAACCTTTGACAGGTGATGCTTCTAAACCACCGAGTTACAGTATTCATCCAATTCATTAACAATTCCTAAACTGGCTATAATACAGGTGTTCACATTTTACCCGTCCAGTTGTCACACGCAACGTAATATTACCGTAATTGGTATAGTACAGGTGTGATTGTTCAAATACCAAAATGGCAACAGTAACAGAAAGACTTCCCTGGCGGCGATGATAAAATACGAATACGGAGCCAACAGATGAGGTTTCATCTTGTACTGGTATTATTATACTCTGCAAACATCAAGTACAGTAACGCGGTAAAACTCCACTACTCCAATAACTAGATACTTAAACTCCAATACAATTCAACGAGATATCCGATCTCATCTCAGTGCTGAACAACTCCCCTATATATACCCGCACTGTCTATAAATAGACCATTACATCAGCATACATAATGAGTCTGGAATTTACTACAAATTTCTAGAATGTTCCATTACCTTCTATTGCCTCCTACAGTGTTCTATTACCTATTCAACCATTTTCTAAAAAAATATAGAATATTCCACCCAGACACAGTAGGTTCTAGAATATTCTCAGTGACACGGAAGTGGAAAATAAGTCGTATGCGACACCAGTATTAAAACACATTAACATAATATTAAGTGATGTCATGCTGGGAGTAGTGCATCATGTCACGGCCATGGTAGTTCAATTCATTACCACTAATATATATATTACGCAACCATTCCACTGAATCTAGAAGTGTATTATAATAATGTGGTACATTAAGGTATTTATATTTTACAGTGCCGATTCAACAGATTCAGCAGTTATGTATGGTATGGGTGATGGAAATAGTGAGACAGAATTACTCTTTGACTTATCATCATTTAAAGCTCAGAAACAGGTATAGTAGAAAAGTACAACATTCTTAGGAAGCAGTGTCAATAGCTTAGAACATTCCCATTGAGTTCCGATGCTGGTATAGACACCCCCAATGAGTCTTAATACTAAATTAAATTTCTCTAGTGTGACCAAGTGCTTGCAATTATTATTGACAAAGAATTATTATTGAGTGTTATGTGCAGATAGAACGTTCTCAGTAAGCCTCGCGGGCGGCTAGTTTGAATGGCTGTCAGTGAGTCTCAGTGAAAGTTTTTGTAAAATGTTCTCCGTGGTTCTAAGTGTTAGGATTAAAACGTTTTCAGTTAGTATGCATGTTAGCACATGGAGCCCAGGAACTATGATCAACTGTACGCAGTCTCTGTGAGGGGGGAGGGCTATCGGCTGGTATATAGTGTAAGAAATAGACAAGGGATGAAGGCTCCAGTGAGCCAATATTTTTTAAACTCGAAAAAAACATATGAAAAGAATGAAAAATAAAATTTATAAAAAATACTAGCTTGAACAATATTAGTTGCTCTTTCAAATTTCGCCAAAGACTTACTTTTATTTTACCGATATCACTAGAAAACTACAAGAAAACT